TCATACAGAATATCTGCTGCTTTCCCTTAATTTCTGATGGAGAGACAACATTTATTTTGAAACTCTTTTCTTTTGTATGTCACAAGGACTTTTAGCTAAATGAGTTTGTCACTATAAATGCATTTTTCAACCTCTCAAGCTTTTGTTTATTTTCTTAAATCGTAACAGATTTTCTTCAAACAGGATTTCATGGCGAAATATGAGGAAATAAAGTATAGCAAATAAGATAGAACTGAATGAAAAATTCCTGTCATCTATAATGCATTAAAAATACAATACATGCCAAGAAAAATATATTTAATCTCTGCACATTGCAGACAATCTGACTGAACACAAAAAAAAGGGGAAAATTATCAAAGGGACATACAGAATTCCAGTTTGTTTAGATCCCTGTAATATGGGCTAATACCTTCTCCAAGACCTATATGGCACCTAACTCTTTATTTTACTCACAGAAGTTCAGATGATTGGATGAACACACATCATCCTCCAGAGAAGTGAAACCCACCTGGAATGTATGGTAGGACAAGTGGCATCTGCTACCATCAGCAAACTTCACCTTTTCTCAACTACTAAAAGTGATTGAAGATTATCATTGGCACACCATCTTTAGTGAATCCCTCCTCTCCTTTCCCCTGCCACACACAGTTTACAGCCATGAGGCAGTTTCCAAAACTACCTATGCTCAGCAGTTGTACACACAAACAGGTTCTGCATCTCAGATTACATTCTTAAGAGCCTGAATACGAGTGTAGCAGCTTTCATCAACTGTTGATAGCTTCATTACACAGCTAAGATTAAATGGTTTCAAACGGTAAAATTTCCCAAGCAGTGCTTGCAATTTGCTCTGAACTGAAGTAAAGTGTATATGTGCTGATGGAATCTGCTGTCAAACCAGCCTGTATCAAATTTTGATTTCTTTTAGTATTTCTAATGTAGCTGTCTTCTAACCCGATCAAAATAAAAATAATATATTTCCCACCAGATTATTTTTCAGACACAGAAGGGCACAGTATGTTTCTCTCCTTAAAAATCTTTCTACTGTATGTGGAGTTAGCTGTGCAAAGGCTGGGAAAATGCAAGGATCTTATGACACCTTCATATTTCATTATTTCAGACAACACAGAGAAGCACAAAACCAGCTACAGCTTATATGTACACGTAGGCTGAGCATCAGCAGAACTAATGCAGGATAGAAACCACCTCCCTAGACTGCAATAACAATTCAACCTTCAAGTTACCAAGAGGAAGCACACAAAGGCTGCAAACACCAGGAACTCTATTAGATCTGATACACTATAAGATAATTGTACCAAGTAATTGTATCATCCAGAACAGGTGCACCAAACTATTCAATTCAGCATCATTGCCCCTAAAAACCGATTGACTTCCTTCAATTTCCTTCCTAAACATAGGAACATGAACAGTAACTACTGTATCTTATAAGAGGAAAACTGTTAAATTCCCAACTGAAGATGAGTAAGACTCAATTTAAATCACATCATAATACAATAATCAGCTGAAAGAGATGATGGATTCTTTTATGGTACAGTATCTATCAATCATTCAGCACTTTCAGTACTACTACAACAGAAAATAAAACTGACTTACGATTCTACATGCAAGTAACTCCCAAACTACTGTCAGTAGGAAGCCTCAAAAAGGTTTGAATTTTTTTTTAATGATTCTGCTCAATGCATTCTGAACAGGGTGTTTCATCTTCTATATTTAAAATTAGTTAAAAGTAATAGAGAAAGCCCAAAAGGACACTGTTAATTGCAACTCCATCTCTGAAAAAACATGGTTTGCTTTGCCCTCTGAAAGCTTTCCAACATGACTTCTGAAGGGCTCTTGCTATGGAACCAATGACAATAGTAACCAAATTCTGACAAAGTCCACCACCTGAAGAAATACTGGCACTTGTTTTTGACAGAAGACCCATTTCATTATAATCCTGGTTAAGGTTCAAGAAATAAAGGCCATATTATTACATGCACTCCTGCGAATGACACATTTAATGGTATCAGAAGAGACCTAACATTTTGCTAAAAAAAAAGGCAAAAAAATTACCTAATTCCAATGCTTTCTAGAGAGAATTTTACATATAACTTGATGTCATCTGAAAAAAATGCACAGGATTTCCAACAGGTTCCCATTAAAAATAAGGGGGGGGGGGCGGTGGAAGGAAATGAAAAAAGCTGCAAATTTTTAAGATTTTTTTTGTCATCTACCCAGGAATGGCACTTGGAATTGACTATATTCTCAGCAGGGATTTGTCTGTCAGGCAAGGCCACTGACTCATCTAAAAACGAATAAAAACTATTAATCTGAGAAAGAATAAAAAATACAGGAACCTATAAAAATAAACTTTCCAAATAATGGGGTCCATTTTTACAAAAACACATACCTTATTTTAAAAACTAATAAAAGAAAACAAATGTTCTGTGAAAAAAACAGGTCAATGAAGAACTCTCCAAACAGTGACCCCAAAGCCTGCAGCAGACTGCTGCACAGCACAGCTCTGTCACCAACAAACTGAAGCTATGGCTTCTCCACAATCAAATAATATCCAGTCTTTTGAACCAGCAGTCATAGCAAACTTCTAAATCTTGGCCAAGTGTAGAAGGAAAAAACAAATCATACTTAAAATATCTGGCTTCTGTTAAAATATAGTCACGCTGCTGATAAAATAAAAAGGGTACAACACAATGCAAGTGGTAATTCTTTCTGCAAAATGTTTTGTTTATCCTAGAAAAAGTTATGATTTGATCTCCTTGGCAGATACTAAGACAGGACGTTGTTCCTTCAGTAATGACAGTTAGAGCTGTGATCACACAGATAAAGCTGACAGTAATCAGAATACATTTATACTTGAAAAAGTGAGAAACTAGTCTTCAAAACTAACATAAAACCACACAAAATCGTCCTTTTGTAATAAGATGTTGGATTCACTGCTCAGTCAGTACACACATTTTATACTCACTCTTCCCCACCATTTTCTGGGCCACTTCACCAGCTGACTGCAGGGGAACAGAGCCTCTGCAATATCTATTGTAGTAAGGGTAAAAAAGATTCTTGTGGCTGCTTCTGAGTGCTGAGGAGAAATGCTATGAAGAGCAGCTCTTCCCCAGCATCTGCACTGCACCAGGCTCTAAAGCTAGGAAACATCCTATAAACATCCTACAGCCCTTCAAAAATGGGAGCTCATGTCCTGACCCACTTACAAACCACTCACTTGACTCTGCAAGTCACCTCCTCCCACCCCAAATTCAGCCACAAAGTGCAAAATTGTATCACTCCTAATGACATGCCTATGGACATAAAAGACAGTTCCTTTATGCAGCAGTTTGGATTTTGTTATATGTGCACTGCACTGGTGTTTCTGGTTTTCACAGCAGCTGAACATGGAATATACTCTTATACTCCTATATACATGTGAAATTAATTAGTTTAATACTACTCCACAATTCCCACTACAAGAAAAAAAGCAGAAGAAAAAGATGGCATACACAGTACTCAGCTTGAACACAATGCTTTTCAACTTTGCTTTCTGGGGAAATTGCCACAAAGCTCACTAATCCCACAGCCATTCCCTGTTACCCTGCTTTCACGGTGCTCCAGCATAATCAGATAATTAGATTTCCTAGCACAGACATTACAAAGTTGATTGATGCTTTTCCCTGACTCCTCTCATCAATTCCCCTTGTGCTGATGGCAAGTTTGAGCAGAATCTGGACTTAGATAAGCAACTGCATTTCAGATCCTCTTAAACAAAATAAGATAGCTGTGGACACGTGTTATACTACATTCACTCTGTTTATATACCTCAAGAATCCCCACCAAAGCCAACCAGACTGAAGGCAGCAGCTAATTCTTAATCAATTATCAGGTCAGCCTAGCTACATCAGAAAACAGGACAGGAGGCCAGCACTGCCTTTTTTATTTTGTTCCTCATTGGAACTTGCATCAGTGGAGAACCAAAATTAAGCTTTTGGGTTCATTTAAGAGCAATTATTTTAATTTTACCTCATCAATAAAATCTCTGTTATAGTTTCCATTTCCTTTTAAGACTGTGGCTAGCAGTAACTATGTAAAATGTTTTGTGTAAGAGTATTCTGAACCAACAAATTAAACTTAACATGGAAAAAGGGTATGGAGACAGGCATTAAAGATGAGCATTTACACTCAACAACTACAACTGCTCAGTGCAGAGCTGCACAAAACTCTTGTAACTTTGCCTACAGCCTCTGTACTTACTTTAGAGGTCCACTCCTTGCAGGTATCACAGAAAGCAAGGACGCTGAAACCAGCATCATTTGGTGATGTGGAATCCTCAGGATCCTCAGGCTTGAGGGCTCGGACAAATCACCACAGGGAAGTACTGCAGCTGCTACAGGCCTCCTAATTTTACACTGAAGTTTTATTTTAAACATAAAGAATGGCTAGAGGAAGAGCAAGTCATTATTACTGTATAATTTTGTAATTTTATAGCTTAACACCTCAAGGTCTATTTAAAAACCAAAACAAACAAAAAAACCCCACAAAACTTTTTTGATATGCTATTAAACACTTAAAACCTCTGTGTCCTCAGAGAGGGACACGGCCGCTGGTTCCCCACACGCGGTGCCCCTTAGCCGCGGAATGCGGCCCGGGCCGGCCCTGCGTTCAGTGATGTGCTCCCGAACGAGGGGACATCGTGATGATACAGCGAGGACACGGCGGGGACACCGTGAGACACAGCGAGGACAGCACGCTGCCGGCCCAGGCGCGGCCAGCCCCGGCCCCTCAGAGCCCGGCGGGCGAGCGGCAAAGCGCCCCCTGGCGGCGCCCCCTCACGGCTCCCTCTCGCGGCGCCCCCTGGCGGCCGTGCGCGCACTGCGGCCCCCCGGCGCTCCGCGCGAACGGCGCATGCGCTGGAAGCCGCCGAGATCAAAGGAGAAGAAATTCTCAGGGAACTCAAGTGCAGATCAACCAAAAAACCCCAACATGTCACATAAATTCATCTTGAGTTACTTTATTTTCCACAATAATAAAAAATAAATTAGTCATAAACAAAAATAGTTAACATTTTTTCATCAAAGAGAAAATGTATACAATATGAAAATGATGCTGTACAGTTCTGGTTCAGGTACATTGCCACGGATATATATTCCTGAACGAGTCAGAAAGCAATTTGCTTATGCTCTCCCCCTTTAATTCACTCAAGGAACTGGCTAATCAGAAAGTTTAGAAAATTGTATTATGGATTTACAGTATGACATATATACAAAAATATATATGTAATACCTGTGCTATAAAATTCCCTAAAAAGATGGGTTAGTATAATGAAAAAGCTGGACAAAATTTGAATGGTATATGTAAATAAATACATATTAGGTCCCTTTTAATAAAAAAATCTGCCTATTCTAAATATTTGAAATATTTTGGTGCAGTGGCTTGTTCCATAGACACAGCTCAGAATTACATATTTCCCATAAACATCTTGTATTTACAAATAACAACAAAATAAGTTATAATAAAGTATATCCTTCTGCCAAAATCAATTATGAGGGTCAAATAGACAATTTTATACATATTAAAAAAGTTAGGGTTTCTTTTGTCTCCCGTCCTTCCTGATCCTCTCTGTAGATCCTGAGTGACTATGATGGGACTTCAGAAGCTCGTATGTACCCAACCCCTGCCAAGGCCACTGGTCTCAAGAGACCAAACACAGTGTGGAAAAACAGGTCAGCAGCAATGATGTGCTGAAAGGTCAATGGTCCATCAGAATTAAGCTCCCCTCCTCTCCAGGTATGTTGGTACTTATCTGTATCCAATCACAGTATATGGGGATGTAGAAAACTGGGAACTCTTGCTCCTCTGAACTTCTGGTTATTAAAAGGTGAAAAGTAAAGAACCAAATTTAGGTCTGCTATGAATTCTCTTAAATGGAATTTTCTCCCTTTCCCCCAGTTCTGAATTTTGCCCACAGTGAAATATCATAATGATTACAAGTTTGCTTTAAAATATATTGAAAATATCTAGTGGATGATTTTTCATTTCTGATATAGAAATAATTATTTTACTCTGTTTTCTAAACAATGTCTAATTTAATGTCCTACAAACATTCTGTAAGTTTAGAAATAAATGACGTTTACTTTCATGTTCAAAATTTCATGGTTTTTGTTCCAATTCCAGGCATGCACATGAATTATCTGCCCAATACACAGAACAGCTCCTAAGAAGTCAGAGACACCCAGTCTCAAGAAAACCAGGTAAACACACAACTTTTCCTTTGTGAGGACCACAACTATTTCTGTGCAAGAGATGTTACATTAGAGAATAAAGGGCCACCACAGACTTCAGCAGCTGTGCAACCACAGGTTCACTGCACAGGAATTAATTCAGATGTCCTTTACTACTGTGCGTTTTAAACTAGCCAGCATGGATATGCACAGACACAAAAATCCAGGGGCTGGCAAAAATACAGCTCTCTTAACAGCTGGGCTTCTTTCTAACACAGATTCTTATAAACCAAAGGCCAGTTCAGGATTTTCAGTAATTCTGGCAAAATTTGTCATCCAAAGGACAAAGGGAGGAAAGTGAGATAAGAAGGAGAGGAGAAGCATTGGTGTTGGTGTAAAAGGGAGATAGGCCAGGATGAGGATGGGGAAAAACAAAGCCCTAAAAGGCACATTTCACTACTTACAGTGGTACATGTTACAAAGAGAGGAGGCCAAGCCTCCTGTACGAGCCCTACACGAGCCATGGGCTGTTTGAGCACGCCCCTCCTTCCTCCTCAGTGATGAGCACTGGCACTGCCCAGGCCTACGGACTCTGTGACTGATACAAGGCTGCACCCCACTGCCGTAACACTGGATCTAGCAGTGGCATTAAACACTGCTTTATTCATACACAAAGTTCTCAGTCTGCTGAAGCAGGAAAAAGCAGGACATTTACGTGTGAAATGAGGAAGCCAGCAGATCCCTGTGCAGGGATTCTGAGGTGGTCCTGCAGCACACCCAGGTGCACTCCCCAGCACTCCCTGCCCCCTAACCAGCCCTTCCCTGCTCAGAGCCCTGGGGGCTGAAGGTCACAGACACCAAAGCAAACACTGACTGCCTCACTGCTGGCCAAGGCAGACACATCCACAGGGTCATTCCCACAGGAGCAACCCTCACACTTTCACACCATCTTCTGGGAGAGGAAGGGAGGACTCCATGAATTCAGTCTCTCAAATTTGGTGTGCTTTTGGTGTACACAAGGAATTCTACCTACATATGCTTGAAGATGACATTGCACAGGAGCAAGTAAACCCTGACAAGCCCTTGGTAAGCTGATAACAACTGCACCAGGAATCCTCCATTCCAAATGGAAAGTGCTTTGAGATGCAGGGCCTGCACTGGATGAAGTTTATTTTGGCCCGCTGCATGTGTGTAAGATATAGAAGTTGTATCAGATTTTACCCCAGAAGCAGCTGGACTCTTTCAATAAAATATCTAACTTACTCTGGTCTTCCTGGATTGCATAAGGCATCTTCAAGGCAAGGAAGCATTTTTTTCCACTATTCTGCATGTTTTGGACTGATGTTAAATTGTCAGAAAAAGAAATTAAAACATTAAAAATCAGAAGTGTGCATAATTGATATTTGCAATTGATAATACACATAATTTCTTACTTATACTGGTTTCACATCTGCTCTATGTCTACTACATTCATTAAGGCCATCTTTGACTTACAGAAAATAAAGTCAAATCCCCTGCAGGCATCATCCTAAGTTGGGGCACTGCTCTATTAGAACAAACAGTTGCTATAGGCACAATTTCAAAATCATGCTTTGTGAGATGGTGAAATCTTAGCACAGCACTTGTGCAGACAATATTAGTATATCAAAGCGCTGATGAAAAGGGCTCATTAGTTCATTTTGCAGGAACAACTATTTTAATAATGCTGACACATGAGAAGAGATGATAAACGATTAGGTTCAGCAGCATTCTGGTACTTTTCTTTCCATTAATGTTTACTTATCATTAGATATTTCATTAGGTTAAACCAGTTTGTTTAATCAGGTACATCTGAAAAATGTCTCTTTACTTAAAAATAAAGCACAATTTGTATAACCATAGCTCTCCACATTCAATTCACAAAACTGCATACTTTAGATGCAATACAGGGTTATACTTCTGTGTGTATGTATATATTCCTTGATAGCTGTCACAAACACTATTTACACAAACACTATTAGTGGCAGCTTAACAGGGCCTACAAAATGATCATCTTTGTAAAATAAGCTAATGGCCATATATTCCAGAGTAAAATAACAGATTTTATAAAATAGGGGATCTATCTGTGTGCTGAGTCACTGATGGTCTCACAGCCAAAGCATGTGTAAGAAGAATTTGCTCTATGACTGCAAACCAGATTCCCTCTGCATCTCATTTGCCTTGGGGTTTCCAGGAAGCCTTGTTATGAAACAGGTATTTCCCTCAAGCTGACAGGAAACACTTCCTTGGGATGAAAGAGATAACAGCAAAAATTATATAATGTATGTCAAGATTTGCTGCAACGAGATACAGAGATGAAAATCTGTATTCAGAAGTACTGGATTCCAGAGCTGTTTACACTGCACTTTATCTGTATCATTCTTTGGTCAAGAATCTAAGGAACATAATATGATAACAAATCTGTAAGTTATCTTCGTGGATAAGTCTTTGTAGTACAAGGAAATAGGAGGACTGTGAAAGACTAATGAACTTGAAGTTTCCTAATTAGAGTTTCTGTTTCTAACAATATGTCTATTATTTACAGTGAAAAAGCCCAAGTCAAAGTGTACAGAAACAGCCAATAACATTTTTGGCTGACATACAACAATTTATAGTTGTACATACAAAGAGTACCTCCAGATTTTAGGGGAAACACTTCTTCATTTCATGCAGTCAAACAGTAGTAGTTCATCATGTCCAAAATATATTTTTCAAGACTGACCAAATCAAAACATTCAGAATTTAATCTCAATGCAAGGCAGCTTTTAGACTACAGGAATTCCACCTTGCTGTGGCATTAACTGATGTGACTGCTTTCACACCTAGCAACCTTCTTCCCCTCCCAGCATTCCTCTCCACCGAAGCAGCAAGAAGAAAAGGATATACAATGAGGTTCAAACATGGCTCTGCATCAGTGGCAGGATACCCTAACCACACCTCTGGGATTGACCAAACATAGATTATTCCAGCTGCTTCGCAACTCGGACATCAGGCACTTTAGGAACAGATGCATAGATGGGCACCACTAATTTACAAGCAATATGCTGTAATAAACAGCTGAATAAGCAGAAGGGTTTATTTTTTTCCCCTCAGCCTTATTTACACATTTGAAAGACCTCTCAAATAAAGGCTAGAAAACAAGCAGATAATGCAAAACCTCATCTGCACTGCATAGTATACTATTTGCCTTTAGCAAGTCTCAAGGCTTAGTACAGTAATTGCAGAAATGAAAAATCACCACTTAAATTCAGCTCTAAGTCTGCAGCCATTCTTAAGTAATAGGAAATGAGTGGTATGAATAGATCTGAGCAATGAAACACTGAGCAAAAAAAGACAAGTATGTTGTAATAACTGATCAAAACCTGAAGAATGCCAATAGCTAAGATCCCCTTTGTACAGATACTCAGCTACCAGACTCATACTGCTGCCTGATACCAGGAGTAACAGACTGCTCTAAGGCACACAGGCCTCTCTCCTTTGGTGGTTGTTTCAGAAACTGGTGACATATCCAGACTAGGTCTGAACAAAGTACTTTGGTTTGGCAGTTGTTAAGCAATAGTGCAGAGAGAAGAATTAGGCAAGATCCCAGTTCTGAAATAAGTCCCCTACAGAAAAAAGAGACCTCACCACTGGAAACAATCACTTTTTATACCAGCAAAGGCTCTTCACCTTTCTGGTTAACCTGTCTCACTAACAGCTGCAGCTGTTAAAGACTTAAAGAGCTAGACACTAGTGTCACTCTGGTAGGGAACATATTTTAAAATCCATACAAAATTATAAAAGTCTATCTTCATGAGTTTATGAATTAAATATAAAGGCACCTTCTGGCAGTCAAGTGTGTATATATTTGCTGCCTAAGGACAGGACATCACTTGAAAGGACAATTGTGAGACCTTAACAGTGACTCCGATTTATTATGAAGTAATAATGGACTGAAGTAGTTAAAAATGTACGTTAGAGTGCTAGGAAACTGATGATAAATGCTTTTCAAGGGTCTGGTTCTTTGGGAAGTCATTTTTCTCATGCATGTTTCATTGATTTAGTCCTCTTAACTTAAGGCAAAGTCCAAAACACCAAGTAAGCACTCAGAAAATAATGGAGCAGCTGCATTCATACTGGTCAATTATCTCCAGTAATTGCCTGCAATTGATTTTAGTTTTCATTAATTTCACAATCTTAAGGCCAGTATGTTCCTTAAATAAGTATCTGATGAGCAGGTGCAAATAATAGTATCATTAAAAATGAACGCTTTAAAAAAATCACGATTTTACAACAAACATCCTAAAAGAGATAACTGCACAATAACTGTAACTGAAAGGGTGTGAGATTTAACCAAAGTCTTGATGCACTCAGCAATATAAACCCCATCTCTAAGAAGCTCCAAGTGCTGCAGCGAGAGCAGCGCTGCCCAAGCTCCAGGTGAAGTGGCCCTGTGCTGCGAGCAGAGCAGGCTGTGTTATCTGCGGCCCAGGAAGCCTGGCTGTCGGTTTGCCACGCGGCTGCAGGAGGCACAGCAGGCTGTTTTGTAGTAGGTGTACACACAGAGCCGCGCCTGGACCACCACGTTGCAGTTGTAGTATTTATCCTTGCAGTTCTCATCTGTGGAGAGAAAGGAAGAGAGAAGAAACTAAAGAAAACTGTACTAGAGCAACAAATAATCAGTTCTCTTTCTTTTACCATGTAAAACCCCTTGGACCTGTATTTAAACATTCACTGTCAGGTTAAAACAGGTTATCTAAGCAAATAAGTCAGATTATTTACTATTTCATATAAAGATACCTAAAGCATGGAAGAAATGTAGCTATCCCCATTTCCCCATCTTTTTAATGCTGCTATCTTCAAGTATGTTGAATAATTCTCAACTGAAAGTTGTTGGAGACCATTCAGAGTTAAAACTCTCTTTAAATTCTGGTATCTTTCTCTTTCTATCCATTCTCATTGCTACAAAAATCAAATCTGATGAGATGAATTACTAATTCCAATGCAAATTAGGTGCATCCCCGTATTTACTATATACAAAAGGAAATTGCTTCATTGCACTTAAGACCTCAGTTTAATTTGGTTGGTTCATATATAACCTGTTTCCAAATACAGTATATAATGATCCTTTTTTTTTGTTTGTTTTAAATACTCTTCCAAGACAAACCTTGGAGAATGCAAGGAGGCTGCAGAAAAACACCCTGTATTTACCATTTTCACAGAAGCACATCTCTCACATTCTCAGCAACTTCAAGAAGGAAAACATTTTTATTGGAAACCTACTTTTAAATCACAGAAAAGAGCTGTATTTTGTGTAAAAATAAAACCCTGAACTCAATTAAGAAAATATACTATTAAAGCCTCTGCAAGACTATAAAATAACTTCTCCACTAGATGGAGTTCCACAGTTAAAACAGAAGTTTCCCCTGCCTTACCTATTTCAGGGACACAATCCTGCGTATTACATGGTTCCTTCTCTTCAGGTTTGAGCTGTGGATCACACTGAGAACTGGCTGCCATGTCATCCGACAGACACCGCACCTCCCGAACCCGAAATCCTCCTTCACAGGACTTGGAACACTGAAACAATTAAGCTGAAGTTCATGAAGGCCATAGGAGATGTGTAATTACAGAAAGTAAACATGGGAACCTTGATGCCAGACCCAGGTATCACTGCAGCCTTTTATCAACTTCACCGTACTGGTTTTTATTTTCTACCTAGGAAGCCCTTAATATACAGGTAAAATTATCTTCAGGATTCCCAAATTCCCAAAAAGATTTTTGACCACAGGAGCAACAAGACAAATAAACACAGTGGATGCTGTGCAACCGAAATCAAGCTAGAAGAGTTCCCTTTCTGAATTTCTTACTTAGTATCTGCTTCTTTAATTAGTCTGGTTGTTCTCTGCTCATTTAGATGTATCTCCCAAATCTACTCTTTCCATAGTGTTCCCATTTCCTGCTTTAAGAACTTAACTGCACTGAACTTTATTACTTGACTGCCCTACCCTCCACTGTCCCTTTTGCTGTTTATATATAAGCAGGAATAATTTTAATTACCTTTTTTTTCTAGCACTCAACTATTTTTCACTTCTTGCAGCACAATGATTTTACTAAACATTACAAGTCTCTTTGAATTTCTAAAAGAAATATTTCTGTGCTCCTTCAGGGTCTGTTATGAAGCCAGAAACTTTTGTACTTGCTTGTTATTGTACTTTTAAAGCCAATTATTACACATTTCTGCCCATACTGAAGCAAATCCCCGTTGGCCAAGGATTTTGCCTGAGTGAGGTCTTTGAGATTTGGCTCACTGTCCAGTTTGACCTAATGCTCAAAAACTTAATTAAACCTGGGTCATTTACAATTAAAACCTTAATAGCCCAAAACCAGTAAGAATGTTTTCTTTCTGACTTTTTTGGCATAATTACTTCTTTTCCTAACACTGCATAAACAACTTATCATGATCATAAAATCATATATTGTAAAAAACCTAACCGAAGTAGTCTCAATACTATATTTTTAAACTGTTTTTTTCATCTTTAAGTAGAACCTTTACCCACATTTGAAAGGGCAGCCATGTGCAACAGTAATAGAAGGTGGGTTTTTCTAGAGTTAGTCCTGTTACATGCCTGTATAGAACACTGTGATTCCTCCACATCCAGCCATAAGGACTTCAGGTCTCTAGAGATCTCAAGCACTTGGAATGAACCAGGACTCACATCACACTTCACACAAACCATTCTGAGCTGCACCCACACTGCAGAGCTGCCATTGCCAATCTGACCTACGGCTCAACAAAGGGTCCAGGTGACTGCATTCAATACGGAGTCATCTCATTCTAAGATGACAATGGACTTCCTGATTTTCATTTAGGACAAAAATATTGATTTTTTTTTTTGGTAGAAAACCAATAAACTATGTCAGATATAGGAAATTATAGAAAGATGGATGAAACTGAAGTGTTTTGTGACACAGTGGTGAATGTAGCTGGTCCACTTCCAGGGGAAACTGAAGATACATGAAGTTGTACAACATTTTCTCTCAGTGAAGTTCTGAGTATTACAGTGAAGAGTTTACAGCAAAATATTATGGTAAAACTGACTCCAAGAAATTGATACATCCCTCATTGATACATCCCTCATTCTTTAATAAATGCTCCTTAATTTTAATGAAACTAGAGATCTGAAAGGAACTTCTAAGTGCACCACACTGTCTCACTGTAAGGGCCAAACCAACTTTATAAAACAGGAAGATTCCATGAAAAAGACATCAATGATACAAAGACAACCTTACAATGTCTCTTTCTGGTCAAGACACTTCCTGAATTCTCTATGTTCCACCAGGCAAAGAATATGCTTTCTTTTTATTATCATTCCTGTGCAAAGTTCAATCATTTTCATGATGGCTGGTTGTATGCAAATAGTGTTCTCTTTCAATATAAACAGAAAAAGATGTGTCAAACCAAGTACAGATACAGGAAATCATGACAGACTTACTGTGCTCCATTCTGTATGAAACCACTTAGATCCACATGGTTTGAGGTAGCAGGATTGCTGGCTGGGAGGTTTTTCCAAATATGAACATTCATAGGGGTTCAAAACATCAAAATTACCCTCAGTTTTCCTAACACAAATTACTTCTCTCTGCTGAGTTCCACTACCACATTCAGTAGAGCACTGTATCAGGGAACAAAAAAAGTGGGAAAATCTGTTATTCTCCTCATGTCTTTCAACTTATTTACAAAGTAACATTTCTCCACATCACATGCTACCATGGACTTAAAACATATTTCTAATTATCTTCATGAAGAAGACATATGACTCTAAGTGTACCTCTGGAAAAATCTCCAAGAGTAGTTTTACCTGTAGCTACAAAAAGAAACTGGTATTTGTTTTCCCAATCAACAGAGAAGCATAACTCACTTTCTCCACAAGCAGTGTTACTGTTTCTTGCTGAAGCAGGGTCCTATGTGCTGCACTGAACTTCGGAGGGTTATAAGGTTAGAGCACAGTTTTGCAGCTTTACAAAGCCTCACATTCTGTGCTGTTTTTAGAAAATGCCTTGATCTGCCAGGGTGTTATTTTCATGCTTGCAAGTATCTATGTGATGTAGTGTTGGTCTGAAAAGCGAATTTGACTCACTTGGATTCCTACTGCCCATTTAAAGGTTAAGTACACACACAATACTGTTTCTGGCACTTGTAAAAAGGTTTTTAGAAGATGATTACAGCAACATATTGGTTTCTAGGTTGCATAAAGGACTATGATTTTCAGAAGGCTTTTTCCAGCCTAAACTAACGAAATGTTCCTAACACTGGGGATTTTCTTTGTATTTTTGGTAGATTTTACAATCCTTTCACCAGATTCCCACAAAACTCTTGAGCTGAATGAAGAACCTTAAGATAAATGCACCTGAATAACTTCTACAGGAAGTACAGTAGCTGCACATTCTTTAACACAAAACATCTCTTTCCAGGATTCCTCCTAAAGGCACCATCTGAACACCCCACCTCAGCTCTGGCAGAGGAAGGCCAGCCCCCAGTGCTCCCTCCTGCTCTGCCCTACCAACTGCTCTCATTTTGCTATTAAAAACCACATAAACCAGCCAGGACTTGGCCAGTAGAATCGATGTTGTCAGACACAGCTTTCAGATCAGTAAAGACTTTGATTGTGTGCATCAAATGATTCAATTCCATGCAAATAAAAAAGGTGAATTAAAAGAACAGTCAGGATGCTCTGAACTGAACACCTTTCCAGCACAGCAAAAATGGGTGCAGAGCTCCAATTTACTGTCTGGAGCAGTCTGAGTAACAAGGCCTGGATTTCATCTGTTATTAGAACTGCAGATAAAGATTTTTTTAAATCTGAATTTGTTATTATTGTTATACATATTCTTATACACAATTATTACTTGCACTTCAAAGCATTAGCACAGTGGTAGCCCTGTAATCTTCCCCTCAGCTGTACCAGTTTAACTTCCAGCTCCTTATCTCCTGGAAGGACTGTGGGATCTGCAGTGCAGTGAGTTAACAGCACAGCTCCACCAAGTGCTGGCACCAAACAGTCCCAAAGGCTCTCCAGGCAATGCCAGAGCCCACACAAAGGGACACAAATGCCTGGGCATGAGTTAACAGCTTCTGAAATGCCTTTGAACCTGACAGAAGAAATATTCATTGGGAACAAGGGCTTCTAGGTGTGGGAAGAACTTACGTTGAGGAAAGAGCATCAGTATAGAGGCCACTAACCAAAATTTCCTCTTTTGTCTATTATAATGGTTTTCAGTACAACAATACCAAAGCTAAATTTTGGATTTAGTCATTGCTTTTTGTCTTCTTTATCTTTTGGAAATGTTATATGCATACATATGTATAGGTATGTATCTCCCTGCATTTATGCATGATCACAAAGGCTCTACTCTAAGAATTGCAAATCCATTGCTTTAATGTTTACCTGAACATGCTCAGCAGAATTCTGTCACAATTCTTTTCATAAATATGTTGGGTCAGTAGGTGAACAGCAAAAAATGAAGATAGAGAGAAGAACAATTTTTTTTCTTTTCATCGAAGTAAAAAAACTCAGCAGATGCTGAGAAGTACTGAACATCAGCTCAGTAAAATTCAGGGAAAAATACCAAATAATACTCTAGAGAGAAATAGTCTAGATACCAAATAGACATATTTGGCATCTAGAGTATTTAGATACTCTATAATACCAAAAAATACTCAAGAGAGATGAAAAAATACCTTATGGCACACATCTTTATTGCATCAAAATATAAATTTAAAACACCAGTAGAATAGCAACAGCAATGTTAGATTCGTGCCTGGCTTACCTGTGTCCAGCCCCCAGCAAACCACTCCACTTTCCCAGCGCAGGGCCCATTGTTACAGGGCGTTGTTTCCGAGGGTCTGTTGTTGCCACAGCCTTCCAGAGGCAAGCTGCTGACGTGGTTGGTCATGCAGACCACGGAGCGCGTGCGGATCCCGTCCCCGCACTCCGCGGAGCACTGCGAGAGAGACACAACACGGTCACCCGAGAGCCCTCCACGCTGACAAGTGACAGCCATGGAAGTTCAGTCACTCATGCAAAGTCAATGATTTTTACTTGTAATTCAGCTGTAGCAAATTGTCTTACAGTTCCGTACTTCTAAAAACACTACAAATAGTACCCGTCTTGACAGTCAAAAATGAAAGGATATCTAAGAAAGAAATCTCTTTGTTTACAGCTTTTTGTTAGCTTTCTTACTTTCCTTTCTTCTTCCTGTCCATAAATTCTTCCTGCTTTCATTTTATTCATCTTTTTTTCACACTAATTAGTAGCTCTGAGAATGGGTAATTTCAATAAAAGGCTTTTCAGACAACAGTCCTGTTTCAGCCTTTGTTTTGCTCTCCAGGTTTCTCCTCCAAACATTCCAGCTGTCAGCCAGGTGGATCTTACACTGGCTGAAAGGACAAGGTTAGGAACACTCTTGAGGGCTGTGGCACTGGGAGCAAAGTGACTGCACAGCACATCCTGGAACTCTTCCATATAACAAACTGACAGAGTCTGACAGCAAAGCGATGTAGAAAAATATAAATTATTTTGACAGGTCATTTCAAAAGATTCAGTTAAGTCCTCAGTAAATGACTGTAACTACCATGAGTTATTGCCCAACCTGTTTCAACTGAAAGTTTTAAATTAGTTTTAGGAGAGGTGGCCATAGACGCTTATATCTATTCAATGTTTTTTCATTATATTACGTTCCAATAACTAATGTTCACTAATCTGAAAGTTCCACTGCTAAATTCTGAAAGCTCTTACTAAACAGTGATATGCAGATTCTTATGTCACCTATTCAGAGACAGTATGCATGTCATTCACAAATCACTGGATAAATTCCATTTATGCCCTTAGAGTTTGCTCCTTCATCTACTGAAGCGAGAAAGTCTCTGGTATTTCACTGTTCTAAGCAGCATCAAACTATTGACATTTGAAAAACAGAAACATGCCCAGGATATAAAGCCTTGGTTTGACTGTTCCTTTGTTGCTTAATTATTTCTTGATCTTCCCTTTTGTTTTCTGTTAAAATGCATTTAGCATTCTGTGTATAGATCATTAACAAAGAAGAAAAACCTATGTGCAGCTCACTGAAAGATATGTATACAACGGAATTTAAACAAAGCAATTATATTTCACATGCAAAGAAACCCACAAATAAATACGTAATATATGATAGAAAAGATGCATTTGATGGCTATTTCAGATTTTATTTTTAACGAACAATGTAATTAGGAGAAACTGTGTATTACTTCCACAATGAGCACCACATTCCTTGTGAATGAATATAACTCTGCATTAGAACATTTTTAAAATTTTATTAAGAATGAGTGAAAAAACTGGTAATGAGACCCAAAGTTGACCATTAACTTGATTTAGCTGCCTTTGGTAACAGTGTCAGGGCTCACTTCCAACAGTTCAGCTGCAAAACAGCAGATCCATGACAACACCACTATTAACAACAAGAGCAACCAACACAGTCACTCACCTTCTTGAGAGAGCCCAGTGAGTGAAAATGCCACTGGTAGCAAACTGCTCTTTACTCACTTGCAGGGAGGAACACTGGTTACTTGTGTGAAACATGTAGTCATGTTACATTTATTTCACTGATACAGAATAGAAAACCACTTTTCCTATCAGCAAGTTGATTTCTTTCACAAGATGTTCAAATAGAATAGCAAAGCTTTACTGAAATGGAATACCTAGAGAACTAAAGAAGTGATTCATCTCTTTAGAAACAATTTTTCTAACAAAGTACAATTTTTGAAAAACTAGAAACTCAGGTTTCTTCCTCCATCTGCAAGATCAAGTAATTAAGCATCTCTTAAATTATGCCTAGAAGTAACATAATGAACCTTTTCTTTTGTTGGTGGTGCACAACAAAATTTTCCACCTTCAAGCAGATATGTAGAATAGATTCACCTCCTCAGCAAACCAATTTCATGCCTAAGGAGGCCTTTTCAAGCTAAACTGGTAAAATCTTGAAAATACAAGAATAATGTAAATTGTGAACATTTTCCTGTTCTCATAAACTGCAACTAAACTACACCCATTTCAGACAGGCCACTCACAGGTGAGCTGAGCCCCACACCGTGGCTCCCACTCAAACCTACAGAAATCAGTTCTGTGGCTGTTCCCATTCCAAGTGTGCCCAATTACATTAAGCAGAGAGAACCTATGCATATACTCTGCAAATACTTTTCTTATTGATAACTAATTTTCATTTGACAACCTAGTTTGCTTTTCTGCTTTTCAAACGAGAGCTGGGAACAAATTTAGTCTGTAAAGTCATCCAGAAAATCTCCCTAGTCTTATGTTTTAAATGATTATATTATGAACTAGGCTTGCATATCAAGTAACAGAGGAAATACCAAATGGGAAGGTATAGGGTTGTTCCACTCTCTGCTGCAAGATTTTACTACAGATTAACTACCCTCTAAGGATTTACAAAGCAAACTTAAACCTGAATGTTTCACATTATGCATTTGTTTTTTCATGTTTTTATCTCCTTTTCAGCAAAAAATCAACTCTGTGAAAATCATGCATTTCTAAGGTCCAAGGCAGGGTGCAGGGAGTTGGATAACGAATCTTTTCCCCTTGTTTTTCACAACTGACACACCCATTCAATTTGGTGCCATTGATTTGTTGCATTAATACATAGTAACTGCCATAACCTAACATTGTGAAACATGAGGAACTTTCACAAGCTGCAACTTTATTCTGGTCCTATTATTAAAGATATTTTGTTTCACAGTCTTGTTTTAATTGGCACAAATTCCTCAGAAACCTCCGTCTGTGTTTTAAGGAGTCTGCCATTTTTCCTCTTCCTGAGGTCCTTCCCTCATGAGTTCAATTTCAGAAGCTTTCCATACCCATTAAAAACTAAAAATAAAACCCCTCATTCAGGGCTCTGATACTTGTCGGAAAGCAACTGAGCAGCAGTCCAGGAAAATAAGGCAAGTTCCTGCAAACTCGGAAAACTCTAAGTGGAAGCCTGAATTTTTGTCACAGCTATAAGACAAGGGTAGAGCAAAATAATCCCTTTTAGCAGCGCAGCTCCCCTTCACTAATGTGCCAGCCCTACCCAGTACACCCAAATGGGGCAGCAGAGCACAGGAGGGTGGCAGCAGGAATTCCCCTGGGCCTCCCGAGAGCTTTCACACAGGCCTCAGCATCACCGCTAGCCTTAATTAAATTTTTAAATAACAACCAATTGAGTTTGAGTAAAACACCCCCACTTGTGCAGGATTTCTGTCTATCACACTTTTAACCTTCATCACCTTAATTATCTCCCACAAGACAGTAAAGACTTTTACAGTCATCTGCCTGATGTTACTGCAAAAAAATAAAAATAAAAAAAATCTATGTTTCAAATACAGTTATAAAACTCCTTAGCATTATTTGACCTACTCTGAGAAAATCCATTTCAGAAGGGATTTTAGACAGATTATGTAACCTTTGTTTTTCCAATACTACACTCAGAAGTGAGTTACATATTTATACATAAAGTATGCAAACCTTCTATTTCCATATAAATCCCACATGAAAGCAATGAAAAAGGGTATTTCATCTTGTTTTTATTTTATACTAAAACAAATAAAGAGTGATAATAAAAAATAACTAACTCTTGCACGAGCTTAATGGTGATTTTTTCTTTTTTTTCCCCAAGATTCAGGAGATTTTAAGTGAAGTATCCAGATTTAAATAAAAAGCAGTGAAAGAAGAGTGTAAGCTACAATATTCATTGGTAGTTCCAGATTTCACTGGTCAACAAACGCACTTGAACTTTTTAGGCAATGTTTAGAATTGAGAGGAACAATGCAATGATTTTTATGAAGTCCTCCTTTTACTACAATTCTCTTGCAGATTATTACAGAAGCATTGCTGTTGCTCCTTTTAATGAAGAGTGAAATCCAGAGCATGTGTTTGGTTTGTTTTGATTATGTTCCCTGATGTGCTGCATTTTTTCTTTCTTCCCAAGATTTTATTTTGGCCGCAGAATCTCATTAACATCTAAGAATTGTTTGTATTTTGGCTTCTTTTCTAAGCAGGCTCTAAACATAAAATGAGAAACAAATGAACAGAGGAGATGGCAATGAGGAATAAACAAAAATGCAGGAGGGAAATGCTCCAGTTAGCTGGAAGGAAACATTGGTGAGTCTCCCATTGCTGTAAATCAGGAGAATGCAGCTTCCCGCTCCTGACCCACAGGAGAAATAAACTTTCCAGCAATTAGAGCTGTCAAAGAATCAGTCATGTGAAATGTTTGCAAGAATCTCATCTGCTCCCATCAATCCCATTTTGTTGCTAAGTTCAGTAAGGTTCACCAGATTTACTCTACTGATTAATGGTTGCTGTTTGGTGGAACTCTGCTGCTTTAATGCAGGATGACAACTTTAGAGAATTATGAGACAGGAAGCAATCTTTCTACAAATGCACATAAAAATATCACAAAAGTTTGTCCAGACTCTCTATAGGCAAAAGAGGTTAAAGATCATATAGAAGTCTAAGCCATGAAACTAAAGTTAATTGTCTTATTTATGTTCAAGATAGAGCAATAAATGCAAAGACAGGCACAGACAAAGTAAGACCAACCAGTCTCACTTCGCTACTACAGACTTTTAACCTGTAATCTTTTCCATTGAAGTGGGTAAAAATTTCTGCTTCTCTCAAGACTGAGCTGGGGGTATCAATAGATGGTGTTTAGACCTACTTCCCATATACGGAACAAGAGGATATACTTTTCAGAAAATAAGCGTTTGTTTCCCAAGAACGAATTGCTTTCCCTCCTTCCTTTCCAGAGCACACATGGCAGCCACACACCTCGTCTGTGTAACACACACTCAATGGGCTCTGATACCTGTTTATCAAAATACCACAAATCAAGAACTGCATTGTCTTAGGAACATGAAGGGGTTTTTAATTACATATATAAAAATCCAGTGTGTGCAGAAACCAACACCAAGGAGGTCAATGCCATGGGGCGAAACAGGTGGCCCATAAAATACATAAATACATCGTGGGAAAACAAGACTGGAGAACATGGCAAGAAGGCAGCCAAGTGTTATTTACAGGGTAAAGCAACATATAGCCCACCCCTGGGAAGGAAACACAACTCCTACACACAAATTTGTATATGCTCTACAGATTTTTTAAGTGCATATATGTAATATTGCTGAAGTCACATTTAGGGAAAAGTAATGATATAATCATCTAGTTCAGAACCACAGAAACTATTAATGATAATATAGGTAAACTAGCGTGATTTCTGCATCAATTAAAACTTTGCATAGTCTCAGTAAAATAAGAAAACACAAAATCTTTTCACCATTCCTAAATTAGACCATGTTCTTTTCTTAAAACAGTATTAAAGAATACTCATGTCAAATTCTGCACAAATATCAAATCCTGAAACTGAACATCGGCTGCCAGCAAAGACAATGGTAATTTTTATGTTGCTGTGTTTTTTTTCTTTATGTTTTGCTAGTTAAGCAAGGCTATATTGTAATGGCCCATGCATCCCATCAATCCAGACAGGGAAGTCTGATCTACCCCTTGCTGAAAGAGGAAGTATGTGCCTAACCAATCTCTGACAGGCTTCTGGAAATCTCTATTTGCTGCATGTGCAACTGTACACATGAAGTGTATGCAAAGTGGGTTCAGAAAAGGCCTTCTCTTCCAGCTGTAACTAAGTTTGAACTCAACCATTTCAAAGTTCCAAAAGTTATGGTAAGTTCTTTTACCTCTTATTTCTAGGCATGGCTGAAATGTCAAAATACAATGGGAAAGACTGTTCTGTGGTATTTCCAGCTGGGACTTGAAGTAGGCATGTAATAAATCTCACAAAGAAGGTCTGTTCTTGTGAGATTTCCACCACAGTTTTGCAGACTCAAGAGGTTTGAACAAGCTTTTTTAAATCTTTTGAACTTTTGGCTGCTTATCTGAACCATTTGTGGCTGCCCATCGCTGATCTACGCTTATTGCTGAAGTGTGGCTTGGCTTAAAATACTTTTTAAGGAATTGTTTGGGAAATGACACATGCAAAGCCCATACACCTGGGAACGACCATTTCTATTCCATGACAGAATTCTTCTCTTGCTTTTCAACAGAAACTACACTCCTCTACAAAGAAAGAGAAATTTCTGCTTCTAAAGATGTAGCCCTTTCAAGGCACAAGAAGACAGCTAATGGCCAACAGCCTGACCTTGCAAAGGTTCACTGCTGCTGTATTTCACTGCCTGCCCCTGAATGTCTCAACATCCGAGTTATGAGGTATGTGTGAATCTTAGGAGATCCTGCATGTTTCACCTCAAATTTACTTTTTTCCTGAAATAAGCTGTTTCTTACATCCTCTTTGTGAATCAAACCCCAAACCCACTCCTGGCAGAAGTGATGGTGAATAATGCCAACTACAGTAGCAAGCATTTGGAAGAAATTAATCTGTACACTTATATAAACTGAGAAGGTAACAAAATCCATTCTTTACTCTCCAGCCCTACAAAGTCTGTGGTAAAAAAAAAAACTCCAACATTTTCCACATTACCTGCTTCACTTCTACGTCTCATTTAACATGTATAAATAAGCATAATAACATTCTACAGTTATAACCTTCAGCTCAAAAGCTGCTTTTAATTCTGCAGAGGACTAAATATCAGTGTAAAATAATCAAGAGGATGGTGCTAGAATTTTCACTGCAATGTCTGTGCTTTATGTGGTGGAACTGCATTGGATGATAGCAGCTGGGCAAAATGATGTGTTCGAGGGTATAATGGATTTAGCAGCACAGTACAAAGAATAGATCTATGAGAAAAAACAAAGGCAGAAAAAAAATACCACTGCCATTTCCCTATAGCAAAATCTTTGCCCTTTGCAGTAATACCTTTGCTTTTCCTGGTACCATTCTGTCCTTACTATGCAGGAGCATACACCAGAAAAAAAAGTCACAATGACACGGATTTAGTAGTCTATATTTTTGTTTTCTTTGTAAAATCTACTTGAGTTGTCTGAGGGCTGAAAATTTTGCAGACCTTGTAACAAGAGTCTGATCAGCCTTTTAAAGTTCTGCAACATATCAGGTACCTGCCCTACTTGTGAAGTTCCTGCTCCATCTCAGCATCTAAACCATGTGCAAAATCTTCTGAGTATCCAAACTAATGCACAGCCTGTGAACCTGGCTTTCAGAGCTACTATCACAAAGTGATCTAAACAATGAAATCATGAAGTTATGAATGTAATCTTACAGCTTCACTGATAAATTATGTTATATGTCTGTCAAAGCAAAGGGAGATGCAACCAGGATTTTACAGACTAAAGGCTGAACTTGCCTATAGATGAAATTGATATGCAAGCATCCACAAGAGGGACCAAAATATCAGGCTTTTCTTAGCCCATGTTTGTAAGCCTCTTAATGAAAGCATATAAATACCACCACTGAACAATAATTCTAAGCCCAATCATGAAACAGCTTAAATTACCACTGGTTTTACTGCTTTCATGCAGAGAATCTGACTCATTGGAAGAAAATTAACCCCAACATCCACGTTCACAAAATACAAGAGCCTGAATCAAGCCTGCCTGAGTTTATGAAGTTGTTCTCCTCTTTTCACACCCATAAGATAATTGGTTTATGGATTGAGCTTAAACCCAGACATCAGGCCTCAAATCTATATCCCTTAAAAAAAACAGTGGGGAAACTTTTAAAAGTCTGAATCTCGAGACTCAGCACTAAGCAAGAAGAATAATAAATCTCAGCACACTCAATATTTTGGAAAGTTCAGACTCAGAGCCAATTCTAAGTCTGGACATTTGGCCATGTATGCACAGGCTTGCCCTTTCTATGCTCGTATCTTAACACAAACTCAAGAAGCCCTTGGGATCACTATTTTTTTGTTTGCTTTTGCCTGTTTAAAAGACCAAGAATAAATATGGAAAATAAGATTACTCCTTTTATGGCTGTACAGATGTGTATTTTTAAAATTCTGATGCTCTTGTTTTAGATGGTTTGGCAGGATAAAGATGCTGAGAAGCCTTACCCTGTCACTCCATTCTGTAAGGAACCAGCTTTTGGCACAGGGGCCCATGTCGCAGTTCTCGATGTCATTTGGCCGCAGCTTCATGTTACATTCCTCATCATCAACAATGTCCCCAAGGTTGCTGACACACTTCACATCTCGAGTCCTCTGCCCCACTCCACAAGGCACTGAACACTGTGACAAAAGGGAGGTTGCATCAGGACTTTTTGCAAGGGTTGCAGTGGTTTACCAGGGAGCTGGGACCATACAGTTCATTCGTTCATTCCTGCTAAGACATCTTTCTGGTTAAGAAGCCAATGCTCGTAGTCAAGCAGGGATTTATTGAACTAAGATTTGCTTATTTCCAAGGTTTTTAATATTCCACTTTGTTTTAAACAAAAGTGATGTTTGATTAGTGATACCTGCAAGAGAATTTGTATTCTTTCTGAGGTATTCTGCCCCAAATGAATGGATCCTACTTACTGAGGTCCACTCTGTCCTGATCTGCCACTCGCTGCAGATCTTGAGCTGGCAGGTGCTGGTGGTGTCAGGCTTCTCCAGGTGCTGGCAGCGGTACTGCTGCACTGTCAGCGTGCGGTTGGCGTAGATCTGCCGGCACAGGATCTGCCGGTGCTGCATTCCCAGCCCGCAGGTTTTGCTGCACTCAGACCACTCTCCTATATCCCAGCTGAAGTGAAAAAAAAAAAAAAAAAAAAAGGATATCTTTGTTCCACAAAGAATTCTCTAACACTGATCTTCACAGAACTGGAATGACATGATTCTTATGCTGGTCCAGAATCCTATAAAATCCTTCAGTCTCCGTGTGTGCAGCGAAACCTTAGGAGGCATCATCACACACTTGTCTACACAGGCTTCCTGCAGAGGCTGGCAATTATGAGCATGGATACAGACTGCACAATTCATGGTCTCAAGACATATTACAAATGTTACTTTAGCCTGTAACAGTTGCTTGGTTTTTAAAAGAATGTGTCTATAAAATATATCACTGCTCTAATGACACCTCCCGAAAGTTTTAAGGTGTGCTGCATAAAATTTTTCTGCACAAAGGCTCTAAAAAAGACAACAACACAAAAATCATGAAATGCATCCAGGCATTCATTCATCAGTAAAACTGAAATAGTAGATGATAAGCAATGAACAAATAGAATTAACTCTAGAGACTGAAAAAAATCTCTAAATAGATCCTTCTCCAAAAGAACGATCCAAAATTTCACTGTATTTATTTAGTCACCTTTATATAAATATGTCATTTTCAATTTTTTCTTCACAAGCATGAAGACAGGCACACACCTAAAGGAAAGTATCTAAACTGTTTTACACATTTGATTTCAGAACTCTTGCGGACAGCAAGCAAAATCTCTGCATTTAAATATTTACATTTCTTTGTTTATACTCTTGATATTATCCTGAATGACTATGAGTCGTTAGAATGGAAAAGGTGAGGAAAATGCTTTTGATGAGAGAAGCCATCTCCAGGTAAATGACTTCAGAAGTTCCTGAGTATCTAATATGCACTAGGAAATTGCTCATCAGAGACATCTCTGAGCCTGTAAGGGCACTTACATCATTAGAAACTTCCCTGGGATAAGGAATGACCACTTGCTGCTCAGAAGAGAACTGAAGAGTATAACCACAAGAGAGATGGAAAATTGACCTAAAACAAAGTTGCTCTAATGGCAATTGGGTTTAACCCTTTTCTCTTCTTGGGATACACCCTGGATGAATTGTCCTTTTGGTTGTTTTTTAGATTTTTATTTATATTTTTAATTTTTCAGTGTTTCAAACAAGTGCTCAGCCAATAGCAGTTCACAGTCTCCCGACTATGTGTGATTCAGAAGGAAACCACACTTGACTGTGCTGGAAACATGGACCACCACCTCAGGACTCAGTCTTGGAGCCAAAGAACTGCTCAGTTCAGGGAAGGCAGGTGAACGTACAAAGAGGCTGTTGTGAGCTCTATCTCATCTTTAAATAATGGAAGTATGGCCACTATAGCACACTGATCCCATGTGGAGTGACACAACCTGCAGAGCCTCTTCTTTGCACAGGAATATGCAGAAGTCTCTCACTTGAAAAAAGTGCACCCACAGAGACCACAAAGAGAGTGTCTGCCTGAACAATCACACACATTTTGAGAAACTGCTATACCTACTAGTTTCCAAGTTCCCTTTTGTATACTCTGCATGCTACTGCCCTCTGTGAAGGGGAAGAAGGTCACCAACAATTATGGAAAAAAAATCCACTACAATTTACAACACAAGTGCATTGTATTTAGAAAGTCAAACTACTTTTCTACTTGGAATAGCCTCCTTCATGTGCAAGATGTCAATGATATTGGCTTATTTCACTTGACTTAAGTTACAGTATCTTACAAAGCAGGGCATGGGAAGAGGTTGCAGGCCTCCTCTTCTGGAATGGGTTTGGTGCTGCTGTCACAGTAACCCTCGGGTACCTCCTCGTGAGTGATTCTGTTGACGCAGTGGAAAATTGGGTACTGTGATCCTGGAATTAAACAGTCAATTAGGTAAAGAATTGCAAAACACTCTGCAGCATTAAGAGCAGCATCCAACATTGATACAGAAAGGAAAAGCGTAACCTGACAACAGAAAATACAGACAAAGGTTTTATCCAAAATTTCCAAATGTAAGAGCTGACAGGATGTGGTAGCAGTTTCTGCTCTGTCCAAATTCCAGCATATCTATTTGTTCAGTCATCTTAAATGGAAATCCAGGACAAGAGATGATGGCAGTTCTCATGGGAAGCATTTTCACTTTGTAAAAAGATAACAGTCTTTTTCCAAGCCAAAGTTTTACAAACATGCTTTGAAATCTCAGGTTTTCATCAAAACTGTTCATTTAGTCTCTCTTTTCTTTAGATAACACAAAAATAACTTATTTTCTCTTCTTGCAACTTGGAATTTCCTAAGGTCATTTAACTTTGGTGGATCTTCAAAAAATAATTAAAACCCGTCATCTGTATTTCTGCATGAAGAAATAAAGTAGAAGAAAATGGAAAACATAGAGGAAAGAAAAAAGCAGAAAATGTCCTATACTGAATGATGCAAAATGAAAACAAAGCCTTAAATAGTACAGATTTTTTTCCCTGATTTTTCCACTCCTTTCTTTGTCAGCCTATATAACCCAGTTTGGCTTGAAATGCCTTAGGGCCATCAGAGAGTCAGGGGCATCTCACAGCAAGATCACAAAAAATGTTCATACAGTCTCAATAGTCTCAGGACCAACTCTCAAGATCCAGTTTCTTTTGAATTTAACTTAATCAGAACATGCACACATTCTTCATATAATGGGAAAAGAGACACTTATTTCTGGCAGCTCTGCTGCTAAATTTCATGGAGTAAATAGGAGGCTGAAATTATTTTTTTTTAATTTTAATTTTTTTTTCTTAAGTCCTACAGTTTTGCTATCTTCATTTTGACTCAGATTTCATTAATACCACTGCCAAGAGTGACCAGATCTCTGCAGAAAGAACAAGAACCATGTGTCAATGTTGATGAAGGCCACGGCATACACAACTAAGATTTCTATAATGGAAAGGAAGAATACATTTATCCTGATGTGTTCCTGCAACTGCACCTGATTACCTGATTTAGATACTGAAATTCACCTTGAATATAGGAATTCAGTCACTCAGTAGTTGATACAGACTGATTGCTGCTAGCCAATAATCAGACACAATTATGGATTCTGCCTGCATGACTTGTAGTAAAAGCACAGGGCGCTTAAATGCCAACTAAAATATTTTTCTCCACAGAAGGGCTGACTTAAGGAAGTCTGAATTTAACTGGTAGTATTTTAGCTCTAGTACTTTTGCAGTAATTTCTCCAAGGAGTTTTCTTTTTTTTTTTTTAACTGAGAAGCAGTTTTGATTGCTATCAATATTGCTGGATTTTTTTCAGCTCTGTAGCTATAACATGCACACCCATCTGGCCTTGAACCAAATTTACAAAGTGTCCTCTCAAACTAATTAAGAAGCAAATGTTCTACACGTATATGAACTGGTGACAGTCAGCTGAGCTCCCACACGGGTACATGTTTATTTTAAACCTCTGCAGTTTTATGGTATGGTGGTGGGTGGCTATGCACAGTACAAAAGATTTCACTTTTACCATCACAAAAACTTATTCTTCCAAGTAATTGCTTGTGTTCTGCATTATTGAATCTGTGGTCACTGTGAATGTCTGGCAGCAAAACTTAATCTCTGCAGTATATGCAAGCAGTGCATGCACCACTTCCAAAAGCTCACCAGGCCCTTTCCATCCCCTTTCCTTCCCACTTCTTCCCTGTTAAAACCTCAGATTTCTGTAGTCACATCAGTGCTGCTCCAGCAACATCCAATGAGACAAAGATATGTCTGATGAAATGCCTGTGAAACCTTCCCATGAAGATCAGAAAACTGTTGACAAAAACACAAAAAGCATGGTGGGTGTATCTGACAAAGCTGGAGAGGCAAAAGGGGTAAAGAATGCCAAAGAATGTTGAGGAAAGCAGCTGTGTATCAAGGGCATGGGAGAGAGCAGCTTGCCATAAATGCTGAAATATCTCCTTTCAGAGGCAAATGTCATATTTTTCCTTGTAATTTCTATGTTTTCCATTTCTAATTTTGCTGGTTTTACTGATTTAAATATAAGCACAGGTAATAGTAGTGACGTGACTTTTGGTTGTAAGAGAACAGAAAACAGCAGGTCTAACAAGGTTTTGTGCACACACAAAGCACTCACCTTTCCCACATGTAGTAGTGCACTCAGTTTTTCCAACCTGTTTCCAGTTGTGTTCCCGGTTTTGTCTCGGTGGTTGCATAGCAGGCACCTGGTTTTCTGGCTGATGAGAAGGAAATCTTCCTGGCTGAATAACTGGAAAAGTTCCAGCTGACTGTCCAGTGAGAATGTCTGTCTCTCTATGCAAATCCTCATCCTCATGACTTGTACTTTCTGGCATTCCTAACTGACCATTCAGTGGCTCCCCTGATGATGGACAATAACAGAAAAGTAAAATAATGAGCCTATTAGTCTATGTTATGATTCTCTAATAATTAGAACTGGAGAATCACTAAACTTGGAAGCAGCTTTAATCTGCTATGTAGAGACTGCCTAATAGTGACCTGCAAAGATTGTGTTGTTTTAAACAAAGATAACTAAGACTTAGCCAGCAAGTACATTAAAAACTAAAAACTGAAGAATCTCTGAAGACAACGTAGAGTTAATGCACCCAGTGTCAAAATTTCCCAAAGCACTTTTGTTTTGTTCCATGCTCTGCATTCTGTGCCTCCCCATGTCACAGCACAGCTGCTCCTCATTATGAACATACCAAACACTCAGAAATTTGTCAAAGCAAGTCACGAACATTAAAGTGAGGACCAAATTCACTTGCGAAGTTTCTCCTGTCCTTCAGAACTTCCTGGGTGTACACACAGCACACACCCACAGCTCAGGCAGGAGCTGCCCAGATTCTAGCTTGGGAAGAGAACACTGTTCTGTTTGATCCTTTCCAGTTGCAAGAGGAAAGGGGAACTGTGCAGGGTTGTTTTAAATTATCTCAGAAAGAAAAACACTGAAAATAAAGATCATGTTCTATTTAATTTCTGAGACATGGTTACAACATTCCTACTCAAAGTAGTAATTATCCCAGCTAAAACATAATAAACTCTGCCAGTTTTAATTCACTGAAGTTTTACCAAATCAATGGTGAGTTCCCATTCAACATGCAGGGTGAAATTATGGGCCTCTCCCACATCAATGACAGCATTTACACTAATTCATTGGTATGAATTTCTCCATTAGCTTATTAAGTAACAAAAAGTGTTTGATAAAAGGAAATGGTGGCATTTTACCTGGCCTCCTGTGAGCAAGCAACTGAGGACTAATGACATTGTCTCCTGGAATGATATATTCATAATGTATACCAGGGTTAGGCTGCTGATGAATCATCTAAAAAGAAAACCAATCATACATTGAGTTCTTGCACTTGTTATGTTATTAATACTTAAATATCAACTTGAACTGATCAGCTATATAACACTATTTATCACTGGTTGGGATAGAAGCAATGGTTAATGACTGTCTCCAAAAAATGCAAAAAGAAAAAAATCCAAGTTACTGTTTGCAAAGAAGAAAATGCAAGTTCCTGTGTTTGCAAATTGAGCTAGCTTTTGATGGAAGAGGAACTGTTTGTCTAAGTCTTCTTTGAAAAACCTAAGAGTGCCATGCTTGTGGCCAAGGTGTGCTGTGGGCTGTGCCAGCCACGGCCTCCCCCCTCAGCAACAGGAGCAGCAGAGGCTCACACCAGGCCTCAGCAGCAGAAGAGATGGTCCTAAGGTCATCAAAACACTCTCAGATAGCAGGAACTTGACAGATGCCTGAGGAAACAAAAGCAAAGAAGAAACAAAGCAGAAAAAAACAAACCACCACAACCCCCAACCCTACACATGCAGCCTACTGCACTTTTAGAGGTTCCCCAGTGGCTCCAGGAGACATCTGCAGACAGCACACACACACACACTGCTCCGTGCCAGCTGCTCCTTCCAGCACCTGCAGCTCCCTCAGCACCCCCTGGAGCCCCAGCAACCCACCAGCTCAAACTGGGGCTGTCCTGCTGCCCTGCCCAGGAGCACTGCTCAGCAAAGATCAGGGAGCAGATCCCAAAGGCCCATGGACCTGGTGCAGCAGCTGAAGATCACCCACAGCTCTCCTGCATCCTTGCACACTCATCTTCAACTGAACGAAGATGCCTTACAGCAAACCACAATTCCATCAATGTGTTCTTTATGAAACACAGGCAGGAACCACAAGGTTTTCTCCTTTAAAGGTGAAAATGAAGCTCAGGGTTTTCAGAATGCTGCTGCACAAGCCCACGAGAGCCGACAGGAGCATGACTCTGACAGTCACTGTTACACTGGCTGTGCAGCTGGGTATAACAGGACCTGAGAAAGATATGACTTTAGGACAGCTTTTATAAACTGTTAGCAGCACACTCCACTCCCACCTGCATTCTACTGCACTGCTGCTCTGAGCCCGAGCACACCCACACTACAAATGCAGGGGTATCATGAGCTGCTGGTTTCAGCACTTTAGCCCTGATTACTTCAGTATTGCTAATACTGACACTTGTGCTTTAGCTTGAACTCTGTGGGGATTAGTCTGATAGAAGCCTCAGACTATACTCAAAGTACCTTTTAAAACCAAACCAAATCAAACCACAACACAAAGAAACAAAAACCCAAAACAACAAACCCACAAGCAAACACCAGAGCTACCTCTGGCTTTTTGATTCTCACCAATGAACCTCATGGTTTCATGGACGCAGAAGTAAAACGTCCTGCTATCCTAATGGCACAGTGACCCAGCAGAGGACAACTTACGCTTCAAGGCTTCACTAAATTCACATCTATTAATACCAACTAGAGATTTAGACTTCTGTTTTAACTATGTCAAAATCACTCTTTCCTTGCCAAATATAATAGCTGTTCCTCTAAATGCTGTCCCCCAGAGAGTATTCACTTTTCTGAACCATTTAATAATGCACTGCCTGCAGTATTTTTTTTGTAAGGTTGGGTCCTTCCAATGTCACTTTCTTATCCAACAAATACACCCTCTTTGTGGTCCTGAGAGAAGCAAGAACTGTGAAGTAACTTCAGCAGTAGAGTACACTTCCCCTTCCAGAAGCAGGACCCTGTTCTTTAGACGGTTCCAGGAACAACTTCCCAGTGGTTCCCATGTGATGGTTTTTCCATCATATTTCTCAAAACAACTGAAAGGCATATTTCAGACAGAACTTAACTGATGAAGTACCTAATTACTATACTGTTCCAGCTTTCCTGCAGGAAAATACCTGAAATGATAGAACAGTTTTGCTTTGACTTAGTGGACCTAAGTCTTTGTAGCAATGTATACTTCACTCTTGGACAGAACTTGCATCTCTTTTTCTTGTTACTTATAATCTCTCGTAAATGAGAAAGCTTTTCACTTTATATTTCAGAGTGGAAGAAAGATAGCATGATCTCAGAAATACAGAACAGAAAGCCAACTGGAGTTCCCATATGCAAATCTCTTCATTTTTCTACACACAGCATAAAGATCATGAGTATGGGTGACAGGAGAATTACATGACTCAGGCACTGTAAGATGAAGTCTAAAAAAAGACATCTGTATCTGCTTGGCTACACATTTCAAACCTGGGAGAGAGGCTGTGTCATACTGAGCACTGATTTTCTTGCATCTAGCACTATTCACCTTTATCTTCCCACAGTATATTAAAATAAATTATCATTTTATACTGAATTGTAGTATTCCTCCTATCAACCAGAAACATCTCTGGTGAGAGTCCTGTCAAATCAGAAGTGGCAATCCACAGCAGCAGCCACAGAGCAAAGCTGGTAAAGCTACACCCATCATAGCAGCTTTCTTACAATCCCTAACCCTAAACGAAAACATTACAATATCAAACATCAAAACAAACATCAAACAACATCAAAAATTAAGGCTTTTTTATTATATTACTTTGGAAATATCTGTTTAATCCATTTCCTAACCCATTTCTCTCTGGGTCATTACATACCAGGCATTAATTGGCTGAAAATAAAAATTCAGGGCCAAGACTCAACTTGCAAACCCTGTAACCTCACAAAATCACAAACATCTGAAAAAGAGAGTCTGCCTTGCACAGTTTAGGAGCCCAATTGTTTATTTTTCCAGGTTTTTCCCTGTCATTCATTACAATCAATTGGAAAAGAAGTTTGGATCAGTCGGACTTGAGGATCTTAGAGGTCTTTTTCAACCTTAATGATTCTTGTGTTAGCATAATTATTACATTGATATATTAGACACCATATAGCAGATGGGGAATAACTTTGCCAACATCTAACTTTTCCCAGCTTAGTAATCAGGGTAGTTACTATTAATTTTTCTATGAAATTATCCAGCACATTCACTTTTCTACCTCACATTGCACTCAAGGACAAAAAAGCCTGTATGAAAGAATGATATATTCAGTTAATCCATTTTTTTCAAGAAATGAATTTTACTGTGTGGGAGTGTACAATCTCAGAACACACCATTTATCTTGGAAGAAGTTGTAATCAATTCCAGTTATGTTTTTTATTTCAGTATGATGAAATAAAAAACCCATCCCATCTGAAGTAAAAAGCTTTCTCAATATTTCTCCCTCTTAGACATAATTTTCTTCTGTCTTCCTTTCTGAAACAGCCATTTTCTATGGTCTCACATCACAGCTTTATATCCTACATTCTATATGTTTATATATATTTACTTGTTTCTTTTAAAGGAAACTGAGATGGTGAGAGGCCTTGTCTGGCTTAAGTATTTGCTTCTTCACTACAGAATTAAACTATACCAAATTTGTTTCAATAGGAAAGTATCCAGAAAAAAATCCAGTTCACAAAAGAAATGCCTTGAACATTTGTATGCCTTATTTCTACTTTACTGAGCAAGCTCAATTGATTTTACTGGATCAGTTAACTCTGAGAGAAAAAGGCTTGATGTAGATTTCCTATGATCTGGAGCAAAATGGATACCACAGCAAACAAATATAAAATATCAAAACTAACATTTCAAAATTAAAGCAACAAAGTGTTGGTACTGAACACCATTTCAGTGTTGCACGTTAACAATGAACTGAACAATTTCCTTTCCATCAGGAAGAATACTTAAAAACTAACTCACATAGACATCAAGGACTTCATTTGTTGGCCCATCAGCCAGGAAGGACTCCCCTGCGGTGCTGGAGATCTCGTTGGGGCGTCTGTAGGTGAACATGGTGCCACCGCCCTCGTACCTGCCCGGGCGATCGATGGCCCAGTTGCCGTTGATGATGGAGCGTCCCGAGCGGCTCCGCAGGGCTGCAGGGGGACACAAACACAAGCGTTTGGTCAGAGGAGAGCCCCTTCCCACGCTGCTGCCCCATCAGTCCCCCACAGAACAGCCTCGGGTATTCCCCATGCCAGGGAACAGAGCTGGTGAAAGAACAGTTATATTAGTAGTTGTGGGGAAAAAAACTCAACAAAACAAACACAAACCAATCTTAGAAAATTGTGTCTCAACATTTCGTATGTTTATGCTGCAGGAAAAGAAAGAAAAATCAAAGACAGCTTGGAAACCTTTTTCAACAGTTTCTCCCAGGTGGCAACGTGACTCTCAGCCAGCCAGCAGCACACACAACACACATGGATGCCAAGGAAGTGGTTTTCCTGCACTTTCTTCCTATTGCATGGACTATTTTGTGATTCAGGCAGAACAAAGCACAGAGTCAGACACAGAAAACCAGTGCATTACACAATGTAGAAGGACCAAACAATGTAGGGGCATATGAGTACCCTGAGCTGCCAAATGTTCCTGTTATTCTTCATTAAGCTCTTTGGCTGGTCCTTCCACTTCCTTTTCAGAACAAGATTTTTTTTGTCAGAACATCTGTAGAGTCCTGACCTGCAGCACTGCTTGGAGTGCTGAGCATTCTGAAAATGCCTGTAGGATTTCTTGCATAAAGAAAGTGACTTGCAAATCAGATACTAGCCCGGGATTGATAAAATATGGACTCAATGTCGCACTAGGCAGTGCCTTCCCTTTGTTATGACAGGCTAGTCAGTGCCTTGGTGACATAGGAGCCTCTGTTCCTTCTCATTCCTACTTTATCTGTCTATGTGACTATAATTTTCAGTCCTTAAGGTCAGAAACTCCTGCCTCATATATGCATAATTTATGCAATATTACAGTTGCATTATTTAAAAAAAAAATGAGGCTGAAACCCTATCAGACATTGCTTAAGTACACAGGAATGACACAACCCTTTCTCTAAAGGCTCTACTCACAGATTTTCAATTTTATTACAAAATAATTTGCTTTTAAATAAAAATTTTAAAAGAGACAATAAAATCTAGTAATACCCTTGGCTGTATCTTGCTTGGTAATTTAATTTTTATAATCCAAATTCAAGGTACAAGCTTTGAACTTAAAAAAATCTAGGGTCAAGGACCCAGTTATTCCAATTTGCTTCTTCTTCACCCTGTCTCAAGAACAGTGACACTCAGTTCAAATGCTCTCAACATTATACACAACTATTTATGCTACTAGGAAAAACTTACATGCATGGCCTAAATGATGGCAAATTAAATTTATGCTACTAATTCCAAAGTAATACACATTAGAGACAAAACTTTTATTTTTTGTACAGATTCCAGACATGTGAATTAACTTAACTAATCAATAGAAGCAGTCTTTTGCTTTGCTGCAGGACTCAGAACAGAATGTCCCATGAGAAGGGACAGAGACACTCCCTTGTCTTGCTAGGTTGTAAAATTCAAAATATTTTGACTTGGAGGGGTTGCTGCTGACTACCCAACTATTTATAATTTGCTTAATTATTGATGAAGTATTTTTGTAAAAGCAAAAACGCCAACGAATATAATGGCTTTGGACCAGACCCTGTAAATGTAATCACACATTTTGAACTTTAATTTTACTTAATGTTACATGCTTATTTTCCCAAGAGCTGCCATACATCCACTTGCTTCCTAGGTCTCATTTACTGACATGCCAACAAAACAATCTCTATACTGTGGACATTACTTGAAAAATATTTTATGTGATATCAGCCATGGAAATGGCTTCATCACTCCTCATATCATGCTCAGAGGAAAAATTACAGCTCAAAAAATATTGCATACAGGTTATATAGGAAATCCAGTCACACTATTTGCTATTTATTTGATCTTTACATTTTTTACTTTTTAATTCAATCAACTATGGATTAAAAACTTCTGCAAAATGTATTGGAGACTGATTTTACATTGGTTTATTAAAGTGGAACACTTCCTTAACTTTATGATCTGAGTATTTTTTCTTAGATTGATGCTAAACAAATAAGATAAATGAATCATCAAGAGCTCAAGAAAAAAAAGCGAGCTGGCTAAGACTAGATTGTTATTAATAATGAAGCTGTAGAAAGATGGCTGTCTGAAAAACTGAGTACACATTAAACTTTCATTTCAAATCCATCATATGACACATTTGAAAGAGGCCTCTCCAGAAAAAGGGAAAATGTGCCTCTTTTATGTTTTGATCACTCTGCATCCACCACCTCAAGTCTGCCCCCTGAAGAACTTTTATGGTGCTAATATTTTTAGCCAAAGCATGAAAGATTATGAGAAGCTTTACCATTAAGTCCTCATGAGGAATTCCTCATACATACTGTAGCTCATTTAATCTATCTTTCATCTCGGAAATGGCTTTTAACTAAAACTGTGTTGTTTACAGTGGCCTTCAAGAATGTTTTGCACTAGTGATATGGAGTATTTCAGGACACAATTCTGATTAACTTCTCCATATTAGCAGTTTGATATATATTTTAAGTGTCTTGCTGAATGACTCCTATTTTTCTAACCATATCTGAAGAGAAATATTTTAGGTGTGGGTGTAGTACCTCACTATTTACAGAACATTTTCACCCAAAATAGGCACAGTACCAATAATGAAATGAAACTTCCTAAATCTGGCAACAGCACTAACATGCAGAGCAGTACAGTGTATTTTTCTGTCCTAAGGCTTTTCTGTCTGGGAGAACAGTGTCCTAAGTCCTACTTAATTGCTTTACAAGCCCTATTAAGGCTGTAGACAGACAGAATTGAAGTTCTTTCCCACACACATGAAGTGTCTCCCATTTGGTCCCGACCCACAGAGAGTGAAGCAGGGAGCAGCTCCTCTCTCTGGGAAGGGCTGCAGCCTTGCAGCTGTGGCCAGTGGGAATCAGGAATCCAGGTCAAGGCTTGGCTGCTGGAGTCAATGGCAAATGTCTCACTGGTGATTTAATCCAGGGAGTCTGGACAAGCTGCAGATGCGCTCAAGGTGCGAGTCAAAGATTGAAAAGACATCATAAAATGTTCTTTGATAAAGGTCCTCAACAAAGGCACTTCCAACAGGTGAGTGGGTGAGAGGGATGGGGCTCTGAGGCTGCATTTGCATTGCAGCTGCCAATCAAAAACCAAAATATCTTACGGGCAAAATGCAGCATCTTTCTTATTTTTAAACCATAAGCACAATTTTTACTTGACCCATCATATTTGAAGAATTTTCCTTGTATTTTTTAAACAAGCTTTTCAAGATTTAATCCTGCTGCTGTTAGCTGAATTAAAGAATGTCTTGGCCATACTAGCTTTCTAGAGAAACAACACTTTCCCAGCACCTTTAAAGAAAGTGCCCAGATACAGCTGCAGTAAATACTCAGACTACTTCTGAGTAACCACATTGATGAAAGAAGTGAAAGAAACATGCAACTTCTCCTGTTTATCTCTCCTGCACAAAAACATATTATATGGAGCTTTCAGAGACAAATCTAAAATATTCACATAGTGCATTATAAAAATCAGTGCAGGGAGGTGCATCCTGTATGACTAAACCCCAGAGATAGCCTTTGGTGACATCTCCTGTGAGGTTAAGTCAGCTGGCTTCATGGTACAAACCATGAGGAATGTAACAGGAAGAGAAACTTGGAAGGGAGGGGTTTGTTGGGAAAGTGCAGCAAATGAAAAAGTCCAGAAAGTGGAAAAGTGCAGCAAATGCACTGAGAGCTGGCCTTTAACTCTGAGCAGCCATACCCACAGCCTGCTGCCCAGCTGCCACACCAGTGCAACTGCTAAAACCAGTGGCCACTTCTGAATGCACACAGATTGTAAAACCCTCTTCTCCAAAAGGATGTGAGGATAACCTCAGACATTAAAAAAAAAACTCAAAAAATTCCAAAAAAATTATTCAGTATCACAAAACACAGCCTGCCTGCATGCCTGTCAGTCTTGCAGGATGGAATACACAATACCTCTTAAGTCACTAAAGAGGAAGTACATGGACCACAGTCTAGAGATACTCCAAGTCACAGCACACAGCTTCTAGGCTACTTAGAATCCCTCTGCATAACAAGGAAAGAGCCAAATGCCTAGAAACTCAATATGAAGCAGTTTTAAAATAATGAAATATTCATTAGTTCAAGTGTATTCTCTGAAAAAACTCCTTTCCAGAAGCATAAATATTTGCTGATTATTAGAACACACCTTAGTTACAGAATGCTCAGGAGAAATTTGGCACACTTCTCATGAACTGAATTAGCTATTATTTGCCTCTGAATTTTTCCGTTCGAACTTCTATTGAGGTCATGTCAAAGCTCCCACAGGACCCTGATCTTAATTCAAGAAATATGAGTAGGGCTAAGATCTCATGATCAGCAAGAGTCAAATGATTTTAACAATCTGATCCTACAAACCCCTTATTTCAGAGCCAATAGAGGATATCAGAAAAAGCTCAGCAGTTCCCTTACTGGCCCTCAATTAGGATCAGATTGTATAAATCCAAACCCAGTGTCTCTGCAGCTTGGACACCTTTAGCTCTTGCACTGTATTTAGTTTCTTCACTGGTAACCAAGACAGGGTAGGGGTACAGATCTGTAACAAAAATGGGGCATCTTCTAACTGTGCATAGCTGAGGCAAACTGTTGATGAACTGCCAACCATTTTGGAAGTTCAAAGCCATTACTGGTCACTTTAACTGGGTCAGGAAGGACATGGACCAGAGAGTGGGACTCTCCACTAAGAAATGCTCTGTGGCCTTACATAATCCTAATGCAAACCGGTATTTTCTAATACAAACGTTAAGACAAAAACCCCCTGAGCATGCCTCCACTATTCCTCAATCCAGGAAGGACCAGAAACAAACATAACACAAAAGCATATGTCTCAGCATGTGCTTCTAAGATCCTGAAACCAGGTGTAAATTGGTGTAAATGGTAAATGGTATTTCCATTTCTTTTCCAAAGCCTAGGAATCAGAATTCCTGCACAAGGATTCAAATTTTAGGGACT